TTGTACCAAACAGCGGTGCAGAGGTTGGTCTGGAGTCGGGGCATCTGGATTAGTAGCTGACATGAACATTCATTCCTTATAGCCATGTAATCTCTGATTTGTGCTCCAAGGTGAGTCATGATCCCTATCTGTAAGATGAGTAAATAGCCACCTCTTGGGGTTATTGAGAAAACTGCATCAGATGACATTATCAAAGGGCTGTTGGAATTTTATCATCTCCAAAGCACTTTCAGGAGCATCTTGGACACTTTGAATCTGTCTCTTTTATTGACACTGGTCAGTTCTGTGGTCTCTGGAACGTAGGTCAAGAACTGGGATAGGAGGTTGTATCATGAGCAGATAAATGGAACGAGTCCCCACCTAGCATTTCAGTTCAGCCAAACAGTGTCAATATAATATGAGGGTATGGCCTCCCCTCCAGCTGCCCTTCCACTGTCTCTTTAGTTTTCTGGGTAGAGTTGCCCGGTGCCTGTGAGTTGTGCTGTGTCCCTGGGGAACTCAGCTGTGCCAGATGGGGAGGGGTTTCCACAGGCTTTTTCCAAAAGGCTTTGCTCTCCCGGGTCCCCTCTGCAAGGCCAGCCCCCTTGGTTCCAGAGGCTGATCCAAGGTGAGGAGCAGGGCCCGTGGTTCAAAAGTCAGCACCTAACATGATCGTTCACACCAACATGGGAGAGAATTCAGTCCCCCAGTGTGGCCAAGGCTGCAAGCTCTGTAAGACCCTGGTGTGCAGGAAAGCTGCTCTCTGTGACACCCCCAAAGGGCAGGAGAGGCTGGGGGTGGAGTCCAAGGGGCCTGAGGGGGTCAGGCTTTTTGTTTAATCAGCTCATGACCTTGGGCAAGTCACTTAACCTCTGAGCCTCAGTGCCCTGCTCTCTAAAATGGGCAGAGTGACCCACAACCTGGTCACGTCCTGGAGGGGGTGAGAAGGGAGCGAGGTAACTGCATGTACCTCATCTGCCCCTGGCTCCTGGGGAAGTTCTCCATATCCACAGTCTCCACATCGGGGGCTCAGCCAACAATGGATCAAAAATACTTGAAAAAATTTATTTATGTATTTATTTATTTATTTATAGTAGTCAGAGTACCTCCCCCCATTCAATCTATAACAAGGCCAGAAATACATTTTCCAAATTCCTATTTTTTTGGGGGGGGGCTCAAAAGTGATTATCTCAAGTGATTAGTGAAAACAAAACTCTTAAAAACACAAATAAAAATAATACAGCAAAACAACTGTGATATTCACATATCATATTGTCAGTCACCTGGAATGATTTAGAGGGTACAGAAGAATGTGTGGGGTTCTGTGCAATCATACGCCGTTTTGCATAAGGAGCACCAGCATCCATGGGTTGGCACCTGCAGGGGTCCTGGATCCGGCCCTCTAGGGGACACAACCAGGGAAGTTAGGGTTTCCTTATATTTGATTCATTACAAATTCTCATACATGAGACTCTTTCTTAAATAGTTTATTTTGAACTAGAACTCACTCTGGTCTAGAACTCACCCTGAACCAACTGCATACAGTTGGGGACACTACTGTGTGGCAGCTGCCATGCTGATGATAAAGAGCCAGCGGATGGGAAGTGGGGAGTCTCCAGATGAAGGGTTTCTAGCTAATGAAAACAAGGGTGTCACCGACACCTGCTTAATTTTTTTTTATATTTGATGAATTTGCAGTGTTTTGTTCAATGACAACATTTCATGTCACTTCTTAAGGTGTCAACATACACACATGACTCCACTTCTTAGTGTAATGTTCTTGTAAAATAAAAGCAGAGACGTTCTGTTTACAAAAGCTGCGTGTCCGCGTCTGTCTTGTCACTTAAACTGGCGACTTTGTCCTTTCCGTGCACAAACACGTGGACTAACCTGCCATGAAGGTAACAGGCCGTCCACGGGAGGGAGTGGGTGGTCATCACAGGGTGGGCTTGTCTGTCACGAGTCACACCCTCTCACTCCCTCTGTGTCACATGCCGTGTCACGTCACAGCAGCACGAGCCCCTCCCCAGATGGGGCACCGTGTTCTTGCACTTCCCAGCTCCCAGGACTGAGAGCCAATGAACTTCTATTTGCTTCTAAACTGCACAGCCCTGGTCTGTGGCTAGAGCCGCAGAAGAGGAAGACACCCGATATCATTAGAGAAGGAGTCTCATGATAAGGGTCTGTGTTTCCCCAACAGTCACCAATACACTAAAATAAAAAAGAAAGAAAGAAAGAAAGATCCATGAAATTGTGCACTTTAAAGGTTTGCGCGGTGTTTCAGTCAGCTACGTCGCTGCTGTGACTAACGGATCTGACCAGAACAAATTTTTTTTTTGAGGGGGGCCATACCAGGGATTGAATTCAGGAGCCCTCAACCACTGAGCCCCATCCCCAGCCCTATTTTTTATTTTATTTAGACACAGGGTCTCACTGAGTTGCTTAGCACCTCTCCGTCACTGAGGCTGGTTGTGAACTCGGGATCCTCCTGCCTCAGCCTCCAAGCTGCTGGGATTACAGGTCTGCGCCACCACACCTGGCTCTGACCAGAACAATTTTAAAGGAGGAAAAGTTTATTTGAGGGCTCACGGTTTCCGAGGTCTTATTCCATAGAAGGCCAGCTCCGTTCCTCAGGGCTCGAGGTGGGGCTGAACATCATGGCAGAAGAGTGTGGCGGAGGGAAGCAGCTCACATGGTGATCAGGAAGCAGAGGGAGACTCCACTGATACAAATATATACCCACACCACACCCCAGTTTCTTCCAGCCACACCCACTGCCTTCAGTTGCCACTCAGCCACTCAGTTAATCTCTATCAGGGGATTGATTCTCTTATTGGTTACGGCTGTCACAACTCACTCATTTCCCATCTGAACCTTCTTACCGTGTCTCCCACATGAGCTTTCGGGGACACCTCACATCTAAACCATAACTCAAGGTATAAAGTGAAAAATATTTCCAAATAAAGCTGTTAAAATCTGCATGTGAAACCATCCTTTCAACATATATTGATTGAGCATCTACTCCTGCCGGGGGCAGCTCCCGGTCCTGGAATGACAGCTGGGTCCGCCCTTGCAGAGGTGACACTGGTGTGCAGGGGAGACAGACAGTAGACAAGGGCTAGGTGACAAGTGCTAGGGGACGTGGAGGAGCGGCAGGCACGATTGTTGCTACTGGGCTGTCGCTAGTCACCACGGGTCAGGAGCAGAGACATTTGTGAAGCCAGGGTTGGGGCTGAGGCCCAAGGAGGTGGAGGCCCAGGTCTGAGATGTGCAGGTTCCAGTGGTCACGGCCAGGAGCAGCGCAGGGCTCACGGTCCAGCTGTGTTTCCCACTGTGGCTCTGGCCCGGGCTTCTCCAGAGGCCAGCTGGAGAAGGTGCAAAGGCCGTGGGGTGGGGAAGGGGCACCGCCTTCCGCGTCACCCCACTCCCCTTTAGTCAGTGGCATCTCTACTCTTGTTTCACTGGGGTTTCGTGTAACTGTGTTTGGACGAGTGGCCGAGCTGTCAAGCTGCAGGAGGTTGGAACCCACGGAGCTGGGTGCTGGAATGGGAGGGAGGTGGCCCCACGGGAAGAACACGATGCTAAGATCAAGACCACGGAAAGGCAGGCCCCGTGCTGGGGGCTGAGCTGGGTCCTCTCTGCTGGCTCCCCCAGCTCAGAGTGTGACCCTGGAAATCTTGTTCAGTCCCTAGATGCCACCTGTCCTGGGAAGGGCAGCCTCTGAGAAGCCGAGAGCTGGAGGCTGTCTGCTGAGCCCCGTCCCCAAGGCAGGTGACCCCCACACCCCACCAGCTCCAGACTGGACCCTAGGGCCATGGGGCTGTGGCAGTGATGATGGAAACCAGGAAGGCGGGCAGCTGGTGAGTGCCATCTGGGGTCCCTGTCACAGGCAGCGTGCGGGAGAGAAGGGTGCAGCCTCTTCTGACGGGTGGAAGTTGGGGAGGCTGTGGGGGGTGGAACTGGGTTGAGGAGTTTCTTTCTGTGCCCTTCTCCAGCTGGGCTGGAGGGAGCCGTAGAGCAAGGGCAGCCCCAGCCAGGAGCCTCTGGACCTGATGGGAAGGGGCCAGAGCTCAGCTGCAGAGTGGGTGCTTCTGGGAAGGCAGAGGGTGGCCCTGGTGAGTGGCCAAGGGCGGCTACTTGCTGACCTGCTCTGCTGAGAAAACAGGCTCTTTCCCAAAGGCTCTTGCAAGCAAGGATCTAAGGCCTTTTTGTTCTGTTTTTGGACCCAGCAGGGAACCAGAGTGAGGCAGGGGCTGCCTGGGAAACTGGAACGGGACTGGGGAGCCAGGAGGCCGGGCTTTGGCAGAAAGTCATCTTACCCAAGTGTCCCCAAACCAAAATCCCACTTACAGGAAAGGAAAATCAGAGTTCAAGAGAATGTGAACCTGGGGAGTCTGTTTAGAAACCACTGGGAAGGATGGAAAGGATCAGTCACTCAAGAGGTGACAGAAACTTCTGTTTTCTACCCGAGTCCCCCAGAGGTAAGTGAGCCAAAGAAACCCTTGCTGACTTCTGCTGTCATCCTCCAGGGTGGATGATGGAGCTGCTGGCACACACCAACTTGAAGTGCACATGCCACTAGCACCTGCTGTCCCCACTGGCCTGCCTATGCTGAGCATTGGGCCTCCGTCTCATTCCAGAGGGGCTTCTGTCGTCCAGGACCCCGCAGCTGCCCCTGCCTGCTTCTTCCTGCCCTTTCACCTCCTCTAAGGGCCAAGTCTAAAATCCAAAGACCCCCAGATTTCTGCACCCTGGATTGTCACCATGATTTCTATCACTTAAGACAGCAGCTGAAAAGCCAGCCTGGTGGCACATGCTTGTAGTCCCAGCTGCTCAGGGGGCTGAGGCAGGAGTCTGAGGCCAACCTGAGTGATAGAACAAAACCTCGTCTCTTAAAACAAAACAGAGTTCAGTTGAGGAATTGTGTGTTCTGTTTTTTTCCTTTTATTAAATATCTGTTTGGGGGGTCTAATTATCTAGGTCATCAGACTGCCAGACATGCAAGCCAGTGTTGGATTACAGACAATTCCATCAGTGGGTTCCAGATAGAAGAATGGGGAGCGGTTGTACTTCCCCAAGGGAATCCTGCTTGTGGGGCAACCCCAGAGGAGTTGCTTAGCACTGGGTTCCCAGCGCTCCCCACAGAGCCAGGCATAAAGAAGGTGGCCATGAAAACTTAGAAATGGATAAATGAATGGATGGATGGATGGTTTCAAGGACAGCCCAAAGGAGGAAATTCCTTCTCCAGTACCTGAGCCCCATTTTTTAGTGCTCTGTTCCTGTCTGGGATGCTCTGCTGTTTCCCCTTATCCAACATCAAAGGGACCTTCAATGCCTTTATTCTCACTCAGAGAGAGATTGGGAACAGGTCAAAGATGAAATGCATGGAGATTAAAATGTGTTGCATTTTAGGAGAAAGAAAGGGAATGTAATACAGTACTTTTATCTTTTTGATCACAGTTAAATAATTATTAGGGTCAGGATTGATTTAGTGTCTGCATCATTGATACCATCACCACAAGCATTATTATCAACATACCACCACTATCACCACTACACCACCATGACCACCACCACCATCACCACCACTACACCACCATGACCACCAACACCACTACCACCACTACACCAGCATGACTACCACCACCACTACCACCATCTCCATCACCACTATTACCATCATTACTGTCACCAGCACCATGATCACCACTACTACCACCATCTCCATCACCACCATTACCACCATCACCATCAATACTGCCACCACCACCATGACCACCACCACCACTACCACCATCTCCATCATCACCGTCACCGCCCACCATACCCATTATCTCCACCATCACCATCACCATTATCACCCTAACACCATCACCACCATTATACCACCTGGAAAAAGTGATATCTAAACTGGATTTTGAAGCTGGATAACAACTGGCCAGGTGGGTAAGAAGCAGGTGTTATAAGTCCCAGAGTGTATAAAGACAGGACAGGATTGTTGGGGTGAAGGCTAAGGATTCTGGCTCTTCCCAAGTGTGAACAGAGGAGAAGAAACCGAACAGGTTGGTAGTGGGAGAATCGGGAGTGGCAGGTATTGACCTTGCAATTATAGCCCTTCTGACTGTTGCTATTTAACAAACTTGGCTTTTCTGTCATAGGCAAGCGATTTTAGCAAAGGAAATGATACTTACTCACTCATTTATTCAACAGATAATTATCTACCATCATGTACAAGGTTCAAGGGATACAGGCCAAGAACAAAACCACGGAATACATTCAAATGGCCTCATTGATCTCCACAACAGGCAGTGAGAATCCACTTGGCTATTATTGGTAAAAATAGCCTGGGAGCCTTCAACTCAACATTTACATAATCACTCTTCCTGGCAGCCCGGTAGGGTACATGGTGTCCATTTTCAGGAAGGCTGACGGTTGACGAGAAGCTAAACATGCTGTTCAGACACATCCAGCCAATCAGGACTGCAGCCAGGCCTCCCAGCCAGGTGGTGTGGCATCAAGCCTCAGGATCGTGGCTTTCCTGGCACCGTCTAAGAGAAACACAGCTGCAGCTGCAGCCAGGCCTGCGGTGTTTCAGGACTCGATTTGCTCTGGGGACACCATTTATTTAGACTCCCTCCTCCTCTCCCAAGCAGGGGCCATGGAGGCTTGGGAGACCCAAGCGGGCCCCTCCCCACCCACACATTTCCAAGCAGCTCTGCAGCCTGACCTGCCTCTGGAGGACTCGGGCGTCACGGGCGGAGCTCCCTGGGTACTCACAGAGGCCCTGGGGTGTCTGGGCGGGTCATCCTTGCCACTTGCCCACTTCCTGCCTGGTGTCCTCTGGTAGGGGAGGGGGGTAGGGGGCAGGCAGGTGGTGAGGAGAAGCCAGCTGACAGCTGTGGGAACCAGTTCCTTCATCCAAAACAGAGCAGCTCCAGGTCAGGACAGAAGGCCCAGCCCAGGATGCCCAGGTTCTCCCAAAGTCTGGAAAGAATTCAGCCCTGGGGGAGGGGGGAGACACACACTCCCAACACTGGGAAAGGGGATGTGGGAGACTGGAAAAGAAGAGCCGTCCAATGTACCGGAAGGCCAAGGAGAGCCACCTCAGAGGGATGTAGGTACCTCCCAGCATCCAGCCTCCTAATACTTAGCCTCCCGGGGACAGTGTGGTGACCATCTATTCTCCCTCACTTCAGAGTCAGCTCTGCAGGGGCAGGCACGGTGCTGGCACACGGCTGGTGCCAGAGAGAGGTTTGTGAGTGGATTTAAAGAGCGCCATAGCCAGAAGCGTGGAAGATGTCTGCAGTAGGGACGGGGACGGCTGCCCTGATTGCCCCGAGGAGACGGAGGGGGACCCAGGAGGGGTGCTGCTTGCACACAGCCCCAGTGTGCGTGGGCACTCTTGCTGTGACAGACACACCTGGGGGCAGGGCTGTACTGGACACTGTCCCCTACCTGAAGCCTGTGGTGGAGTGTGGGGGTGGCAGGCACTCACGTTCACACTGAGAATTATAGGACTGGCTGTGGTCCTTGGGACCCAGAGAGCCATGTGCCATGCCCCCGAAGGACAAGTCCATGGACGCTGCTGACCCACAGGTTTGGCGTTCTTCTCTTTGATACGAGGTCCTCGCCCACGTTTCCCCCACTTTATTACTTTAATGGATGTGCGCACGTGTGAGTGACGATTGAGGTGACACAGTCGTAGCTTCCTGTCCTAAGAAACCACCTCGGCTCAGGTGCTTGCAGAAGCTGCTCCTTTATCACCCTCCTGCCCTGACTCTGGGTCCAGAGGCATGTGGTCCAGGGAGGGACACCTGACTCAGACAGAGACCACGCGGGCTGTGGGAGTAGGGACACGGGGCAGGCAGAGGCTGTAAGGTGTGGACCTTGGAAGAGCTCAAGTGGCAGCTCCCGGGAGGTGTCGACTTAGCCAGGAAGGGCTGAGGCTCCTCAGGGTTCTCATCCCTTGCACAGCTCCAGGGAAGTGGGCAACGGGGCTGGAAGGCACAGCCTGGCGCTCTCTGCTAGCGCCGGGGCCTGGGGGCTGTTTCTGCCTCCGCCGGCACACCTGTGTTCACAAAGCAGCATCCGTGCCTCTGTGGCCCCTCCCTGGGATTTTCCACTTCTCAAGCCAGGGGAAGAGCAGCCGCACCTTCCAGGGGTTGCTGCATCATAGGACTGCAAGGAGATGCAGCCTCTGCCTCCTCAAATGCCCTGCTGACCAGTAGTGCTGGGGGCTGACCACCAGACCTGGGCTGGCAGCCCTCCACAAACTCCTCACCCACTCCCACCCCTGGGGCCCCCTCCCTGCAGGAACCTCACGTTGTGGTTTGGCTGCCATGGAGAACGTCAGTGTGCAGGGGACAATAAAGCCGGGCTGTGAATTGTCAGAGATGAGGGCACATGGAAAGTTCTGGAAGCGTCACATCCTGGCTCCCACAGCCAAGGTCTTTCTGAGGCACTGCCATCTCCAGCTGTAACCCGCTGCAGGCCTCTGCCTCGGTGGCTGTGAGCTGATGGATTCCCCACTGGGAGATGGGGTGGGGCTGGCCTGCACGCTCCTCTTCTCCTCTTCCCCCTGATCCCTGGAGTCTTATCCAAACTCTGCAGAATGAGGACACTGTGATGATTTTCCAGGGCTGAGCTAACTGGCTGGGAGCAGAGCTGGTGCTCAGCCATGGCTGCCCGACCTCGCACCATGCACCTTCCCACACATTGCCCTCCGCCCACCAGCACCCAGTGGCTGTGGGTGGAGGTGTATGCAGCTTTGCCCCCATCTCCAAAGCTCTGGGTTCGCCTTCAGCAAACACATCTGGGGCCTCCTGCATGGTCCTTCCTGGGCAGCAGGGCTACAGCAGCTGGAAGCCCCAGGCTCTGCACATGGGAGCCAAGGGCCCAGCAGGAAGACCAGCAGCCGGGAGAGGGCCAATTCAGACTTGCAGAGAGCTGTGGGTGAGGCCGTGCCATCGAGAGAGCTTGGGTGCCTCTTGAAACCCTGCGGGAGCTTCTCTGGGGTTCACCGGGCAGAGAATAGCTGGACAAGCCCCCCAGCCAGAACGAGAACACGAAGGGAGGAAGAGCAAGGCGGGGAAGGACACTCTATCTTAGATTTAGCTCCCTTGCATTCTGTTTAGAGAGAGAGAATAATGAACAAAAATGTTGTTAAAAATACATGCTAATGTAGCACCCAGGGCAAGGCAAGAGCCCGGTGAGGGGGAGGAAGAACCCCGGCAGGCAGGAAGCCCTCGATTGGCGGGTGAACGGCATGTGAGCGGGCCCTGGGAGGCTAGGCCTGGCTTCAGAAGGAAGGCAATGATACCAAAGCTTCCTGGCAGAGCCTAATCCAAAGCACAGGGCAGGATCTTTGTAGAATTTAGGAGAAATGGTCAGTTCTCCACTATTTTCAGCATGGGTAGAAGTTTGAAGAGGGTCTTCAAGCAGAGGTCAGATTGCAGAGAACCTTAGATGAAAAGTTAAGAAGACTCCTTCCATGGGCAGTAGGGAGCCATGGAAGGTTCCTGAGCTGGAGAAGAGTCAAATAGGAGTTGTGTTCACAGAAAAACTCCTGGTGGTGGTGTAGAAGTGGAATCAGAGAAGGAAGGAACTGGAGGTGGACAAATGGCCATGAGAATGTTACTTTAAGGCACTCAGGAATGAGGAACGGGACCTGTGGAGGCGCTCCCTGGATGCCTCTCTGGACCTGAGGGCAGGGGCAGGGGTGGGGCACACAGGTGAACCTGGTAGCCTCTTCTGGGAAGCTGTCCTGGGGCCACCCAGGTGGCTTTGGGCTCTCCTTCTGCTTGTGGCTGTAGCCCCCACTTGGTCCTCTGCTTCTCCTGCAGGAACCCGCACACACTTTGTGTATCCCCCGGGGGTCACCCTCAGCCTGCTCTGCGTTACAGACCACTCCATCCTGA